ATACACACACAACAGACACAAACACATTAATAACAAATCATTAAAATGTAGTACATCATTTATGCACAGGGCTAGGCCCAAAGCTGACACAGAAAGAGTCAGTATCACTGAAATCAAGCATTTTAGTAGGTAAACTCTTTAACAGGGCATTTAACATCTACTATCTGGCCGCTGTTTATCTCTATGGCCTCTTTCTTCCTACACTGCATGAACCAGGACTCCAAAAGAGCATTGGCTTTTTTTTTCAGGGAGTATATTCTTGTTCACCTCCATAAATCTGTAAATGCTATTCTCTCTGTTGGTTACCCACAGACCCCAAATCTCCCAACTGGCTAGTTTATATACTTTTTCAGTCTTGGTGTAAATATTTCTTCAGTTTGGTCTTCCTCAACCAATATATGCATATTGATAGTTAATTGTGGGATGGATGAATGGGTGGATGGATGAATGGATGTGGTGTGTGTGTGTGAAGGTGTGGTTTATCATCTGTGCATACAGGTAAGCCAGGGGCTGAAATCAGTGTCTTACTCTCCTTCTAACTTATCTCTTGAGATAGGGTCTCTAGCTAGGTCCAAAGCTCACTGCTTCAACTAGACTGGTTGGTGAGATATGTGTTTAGGTCCTCATGCCTGCACACCAAACATTTCATCCATAAGGCATCTCCCCAGTTTATAGACCCTCTTCAGATTGGCTGCCTCAAACTTCCAAAACCCTAAGGAATATTACTTCTCATAATTATTTGCCTCATCCTTGTTTTCTTTTAGGGTGCAGCTGAGAATGGACAGGGATTGTGCCTGCCCTATTTGTCACTTTAGCCCTGTTGGCTTGTTTAAATATTCAATCAATTACTAACAAGCAAAAGACCATAAAGTATTGAAGCATAAGTGTAATCTATATGGTTTTAACTGGAACAATGGGCAGTGTCTTCCATTTGAGCTTAGAATACCCTGTTTATGCCATGAGGCAGTAACTTTATTCTAGTCGATAACAGTATCCATCTTAATTTTATTCATTAATTCAGTGATAATTTATATGATAAAACAATCAGACGGAAGAATGAGGCTGATCTCTAAATTGACTAAATTAGGCTTATGCCACACTGCCCTCTGTGTGGCCCTCATCCTAGTATTTCTCAGGAGTGTGTTTTCCCCTTCTATATCTGTGTAATCCTGAAATTACTTGGAGCTGGGCAACCTTCAATATCTATCCTAATTTTGAGAAATTCAAACAAACACTCAGAATCATTGGAGATTTGTAATGATGTCTAAGAATCAAGTTTATATAGTATCTACAACATGCTTGAGGCTTTTAGAGAGTTCCAAAAAACTTCAGACTTATCAGTTATACATTAGTGGTATATCTACATTATGATGACAATAAACGGTAATTTTCCCATGTTGATTATTGGAGTCTGTCCCCCACCTGTTTCTTTCCCATCCACTCCGAAGGCAAAAACACCCATGTCCTTAACCTCCCTTGCAAGTGAGGTTACCTGCTAGGTGACTCTGATAGGGACAAGTGAAAAGAGATAATGCATTTTATTTCCTTAACAGAGAAGAGACAGGGAGTAAAAAGACCTCACCTGCCCTTCCTGCCTTCCTGTTCCATACTGTTGATGTCTGAAACAGTGACATCCATCCTGAGATGAGCAAACAAAGCTAAAGGAAAGAGGCAAACAACCAAGGATGGCAGAGTGGAAACAACAAACTAGGTCATTGATGAAACTGGGGAGTAGTGGATCCAATGTCAGTAACCGCACATCTCCAGATTCCTTGCTGAATGAGAAAGTCACCAACCTTGTTCGTTTAAATGATTGTTACTAGAAGAGTCTGTTTTGGGGTTTTGTTTTTGTTTTTATGTTTGTTTGTTTTTTCAACACAGGGTTTCTTTGGCCGGGCGTTGGTAGCACACGCCTTTAATCCCAGCACTTGGGAGGCAGAGGCAGGGGGATCTCTGTGAGTTTGAGGCCAACCTGGTCTACAGAGTGAGTTCCAGGACGGCCTCCAAAGCCACAGAGATACCCTGTCTCGAAAAACAAACAAACAAACAAAAGACAGAGTTTCTCTGTATTGCTTTGGAGGCTGTCCTGGAACTAGTTCTTGGCCTTGAACTCACAGAGATCTGCCTGCCTCTGCCTCCCAAGTGCTGGGATTAAAGGCGTGTGTCACCAACGCCCGGCAGAAGATTCAGTTATTAACAAAACCGAATTTAGCTTTAACTCATGCAACTAGTTACTTGAATATTTCCTTTAATTAACTAGGACAGAATTGAATTATTAATACTTGACCATTTACATTTGGGGTGAAGTACTGGATTTTTGAAAGAAACTTAGAAAAAAGTAAGTTTATCTGAAAGGTTTGGTCATTTTCATCCTGGAAGCAGACCGGAGCTTCCACTTGCCATCAGTTGTGATACAAACTCTTGGAGCTGTGGACCCCTGAGACCCTTCTGTGTGAATAAGTACTTCCTAGGAGCTGGGAGATGGAAGTCCTAGCTGGGGGGAAACTTTTGAACTTTGTGCTGATGGGAAGATGTTGAACCCTCAAGAAAGGACTGACCAGGAAGTGTCAGGAGCAGATAAGATTAGACCAACCCCTGTGGTGGTGGGGACTGCACTGATTAACTTAATGAGTCTGGTGTCTACCTCTCCGACAAAGTTTGAGTATAATCCCACATCAAACCTAGAACTGCTATCAAATAGTGATGGTATGGGGTGGCTTTTGGTAGAGCAAGCGACCTATGAACCCTCCGCTCCAGGAAATCAGGGAATTGGACCCGTTGGCCGCTCTGACTCTCCTTGGTTCTAAAGCAGCTGTCTGACAGCAGAGACCATGCCTGAGCTTGCAGTCCTCCCTTTCCTGCTCTCTAATTGTCCATTTCTGCTTCTGAGAGGAATGCTCCGTGAAAGACAAACTTCAAAATAAAGGCTTAGCATAGCTCATATTTGGGCTGGAGAAAGGAAGCTAAGCTGGCAAGGTGACTTGTGTGGATTTATGTGCGCTTCAGAGCAGAATGAGCAATGCCTTACTCATTAGGTGGCAGGTAGACATGATAGGTTGGGGTAAGTGACTTGCAACTGTTATGCCCTCAAAGACAAAGTTTCTTGGGCTCTGAAGCTCATTCTTTAGAGAAAACACACAATCTTTGGGAAATGAGGAAAGCCTTATGCGATTATATTTTCCCCTGATTTGCTTCTCAAAAAGGAAGAAAGAAAAGAAAAGAGGTTTAGCTACCAATTATTTAACAGGCAAATCTCCCAGCCTCTTGAGGAAGCACTCAAGGGTTTGTGCAGATCATTTCTGAAAGGGAAACAGGCTGCGTCTTCACCCTGCCCCCTGCACTTTGGTACATAGTACTTTAAAAAGACCGCGCTGAAAATTTTAACAGATGATTTCTGGAAAGCCGACTTATGAACTAATTGGACACTTCTGCTGTGTGGAGGAACAAAGACTTCTTTTTTATTGGTCTTCAACTAAGGCATATACCTGTCTCATGGCGTTGGCTCGTTCTGCACATGCTCAGTTGAACAGAAATCTTCATATTGCATACAACCTTGCACAGCGGCAACACCCACATCCTTACTCCGTGGCTGACCTGTGCAGCCATTCCTTCTAGTTGCATTCTTATGCGGAGAACTCCAACATTTGTAGGGACTACAGTAAACCAAGTAGATGCTGGGACTGGGGAACAATATACAATGGATTTAAAGTCTCCTTATGTCACTATCTTCCTGACCCGTCTATTTTGTCTAGCGGGAGTAGACACTGCATAGATATTTGGTGAGTTTGGGGCAGGCGGCAGGAGAAGCTGTTTCTCGAGTTCACTGTTCGTTCTTGCACACCTTCCTCTGCAGTTTTCGTTCGGTCCTTTCCTTGGACAATTTTCCCCCTCCCCCAGCCCTCACTTCATTAAGGAATGGCAGGGTGGCACTAAAAGCATCCGCCGCCAAGTGCCTTCTTGAGTGACAGTCTCTCTCCACCTCCTCTCTGGCTTTTCCATTCATTAGAACCCTTTCCCTGCATTTTTCCCAGCCAAAAACTGGGAACGGCTTCCTGAGGTTACGAAAGAACGGGGAAAGGTGCCAGAGTGCTGAGCATGCTGTCCCAAAACGTGCATACTGCTGTGGACCTTTTGTCCCCAGCCCCCTTTCTCCACTTGGTCGCAGCTTGGGAATAGAGGCGACGACCTCCACCAGCCCCACCTCAGCAGCTGCAACCCGCGGAGCTCCGCCAGCCGACCCCCAGCGCCCTCTAGATTCCCCGCGCCCGCCGGTTCTCCGTGACGTTGCGGGCGCTGCGCGCATGCGCCACGGGGAGCGCTTTCCTCCACCCCGCCTCCCCCCTCTCCGATCCCCCGCCTCCTTTCGCGGTCCCCGCCTACCAAAGGGCTGGAGTGGGCGGGGCCTGCGGCTCTAGCAGCCGCGCGGGCCGAAAGGGAGGAGGGTGAGTGTGCGCGAGGCGGGTGCTCCGGGCTTTCGAGCCAGGCGGCAGCTGAAGCTTAGGGGAGGAGCTGAAGGCAGCGGTCGCCGCTCCCGCCCGCACTGAACACTCATCCCGCGAAGCCCCCTCCCACACTCGGGCGGGCGGCGGCGGCGGCGGGAGGAGGAGAAGGAGGAGGGAGCGTCTCTGCCGCCGCCTCCTGGTCCCCAGCGCCGATCAGCCGCCACCACCTCCCTTCGCGACGATCCTCCTTCCATGGTGCTGTCGCGGCCCCCCCTGTAGCCCGAGCTGCCCCGCGCCGCGCCGGAGCCGGTCTCGGGCAGAGGGAGCGGTCGGGGGCCTCGCGGCCCGCGCGGGCTGACGAGCAGAGAGTGCGGCGCCTCGCGGGTCCCCGAGGGTCCGCACGCCCGGCAGCGCGGCGGCGAGCTACAGCGCCGAGAGCAGCGGGCGGGCGGGCGGCGCCGGGCCCGGGCCGCCCTCGCTCCCACGCCCCGGCCCCGCCGCCCGCGCCGGGGCGGCAGCCGGCAGAGGAAAGGCGCTGCAGTCTCCGGGCCTCGCGGCCCCAGTTGAGCTTCCTCAGCACCGAGGGCTTGCGGGTCCGGTGGGGAGGACGCGAGCCCGGAGCCCGGGCACTGAGCTCTTGGGCGCCCCCAACCCAGTTTTCAGAACCCTCCACGCTGCGGCCACTGTCCCCTCTGGACCATGGCCGACGACGACGTGCTGTTCGAGGATGTGTACGAGCTGTGCGAGGTGATCGGCAAGTGAGTCTCCACGCGAGGGAGCGGGAGTGTGGAAAAATGCATTTCAGCGATGCCCGGGGCCTCCCGCACCCGCTCCGGGCCTGCCCCCTGCCCTCTTGTCCTCCCCTCTGCCTCCCTTGTCCTCTTCACCCTGGAGTATTTATAGACGTGTACCTGGATCTCCTGCCAGGAGAGGGTCTGGGGGCTTCTCAGCGACCCGTGGAGGCTAACGAGCCCGGGTCGGCCACCCCATAAGGCGTGGGGCGGGCTCCCTGCATTTTATCTGACGGTTACACAGGGACGTGGCAGGACCGATTTTATAGTTGTTTCCTGGGAACAGTTGGGGTTATTGTTACCTTTCCTGTACCATAGACCTTTTAACGAAAAGAGCAGCCTGCATTTCGTGTGCGTGTGTGGAGAGAGCGAGAGAGCGCGTCCAGGGTTTTTAATTGTGGGGTGTGTGTCTATTGTGCCAGGATATTAGACAGATGCCTTTGTGTTCACCCCGTGCCCGGATTTAAGAGGGTCATTGAAGACGGGTGCGTCCAGTTTCAGCAAATTCTTCACCTGCCTTAGACGAACGTAGAAAGAGTTAGGGGCACCCAAAATTTTAATGCCTCGTTATGCAATGACTGTACAATCAGTGCTCGAGGCTCCCTTCACTGTTGTTGGGATGGTGGTTAGCGTGGAGGAGCCGTCTGCTTTGAGTCACCGGGCTGGTCTAGAATATAGAACTGACAGTCCAAATGCTCATCCTTTCATCTGTGTTGTATAATTACACCAGGGAAAAGCAGGGAATCAGATTAATCACAGTACTGATTGAGAATTAAATCTGCAGTTCCTCATCTAATTGTCCGGTCCTGAAATCTGTTTTGAATTGTTTCCTTTTCATTCTTGTCAAACAATATTCCAAGTGCACAATCCTGCTAATTTGCTTGTGAGGGAAATGCTGGCAATCTGAAGTTGATTTCCTAGCTCAGCGTGTATTCTGTAGCTTTGGAAGTTGAGATAAGATTTAAGAGCGATTTTTGCTTATTTACTAGGGCTCGTTAGATAGCTAGTATTGAAATATTTTACCTCTTTTTGGTAGCGGTGCTTTATTGTCTATTTTAAGGTCCACAGTTGGGAAATGAAACCAAGATAGAGCAGTTGGCTCTACCTCTTTTAAGTTGTCTGCAGTATACTCAGTTTCAATTTTTGAGTACTGATAACTCATTTTTTTCCTCCATATTGAGGTATTACATTGCCGCTCACATGGTGAAATTGTGGGTAGAGCTTGCTACACTCTTTTCTTAGACCCAAATGCTTCGAGGACGCATTACTCCTTGCCCCATTGTTCAATGACCAGCCTGTCTGTTAGGAGGAAGATGTCCAAATGTGTGTGGTTGTGCCCTAGAGCAGCGCTGTCTAAAGCTATTTAATGAGAGCCACGTGTGATTTATAATTTTCTAGTAGCCACATTAGAAAGATTTAAAACAAAAAGGTGCAATTAATTTTAGTAAAATATTTTCTTAATATATTACATCCGAATTAGTGATTTCAGCATGAAATTTTTTGCAATACTTTCCATCTTTTCATACTAAGCCATTTAAATCCGATGTGTGTTTTATACTAACAGCACATCTCAGTTTTGACGCTAAGCTAAATTCTCACCAGAAGTACTTGATCTGTATTTAGGTCTCATAAAATTTGCATGTGCAAAAGTAGATTCACATACTCAAGTTGTTCCAAACATACATAAAAGTTTTCCAGTAACGGAATTTACTATTCTAAATTTTAATCAATTAAGCAGAATGCAAAATTTATTGCCTCAGTTGGATTAGCCACATTTCAAGAGCTTAATAGTCACAGTTGACTACCACATTTCTAGAGAAAAAATATAAAAAAAATCTCCTTCATTTCTTCATTGTTGAGAGCACACAAAGAAGGTAAATTTGATGTTTCTCAAAACCATCCAAATGACCATGTGTGAGTGAGTGATGTTTGCTGTATCTTAGTTATGGCTGTTGTAAGTGAGCCTGCATTTAGAAAATGTGGGATTAAGATGCTTCCATATATTATGATGTTGGAAAATAGCCATAATTGAATCAATTATGGTGACTGCCTCTGATTCCTTCTGGTCTAAAAGGATGACAGTGTGATCCCCTTGGATTTTGGAAAGTGGTCAGCCTCATATTAGCAGTCTTTTTGTGCTGATGTAACATATTTTCAGAAGACACCCCTGGTAGAATTAAGTTTATCTATTCTGTTGTTTTGCAGCTGCATAAGGAGGAAGAAAGAACGAGCTAATTTTGAGATGCTAGGTAGTCAGTGGCTGCCTGCACTTCTGTGAACTGTGAAATTTCATTCCTATTCTACAAAATCTGACTTGGTGTCGTTTATAAAATGTCATTTCTTGAAATAATGAATCCAAGATAGTCTCAGTGTTAAAGAATGTAATGATGGTGTTTCTCGGCTTGTGCAAAGGTCGAAGGTTTCTCCAGTAAATTGTGTCAGTGTATATTGATCCTGAAATTGAAATTCGTTTGAGATTTTTTTTTTGCAGGGACCTTGACAGCATACATTTAAACTAAGAATTTGTTCAATCATGAGCTTAAACAGAAAGGCCTTTGCAGATCATCATCCATCCTGAAAATCTTTTTGTTGATTTCTATCCAGACTCTACAGAATTTTGGTTTTCTTTTGTATCAAATTAGTATCACAAGCCGGGCAGTGGTGACACATGCCTTTAATCCCAGCACTTGGGAGGCAGAGGCAGGCGGATCTCTCTGAGTTCGAGGCCAGGCTGGACCGACAGCCTCCAAAACAATACAGAGAAAACCTGTCTTCTAAAAACCAAAAAAAAATTAGTATCACAAATTGTGTTTACACCACAATGTCTTAATAGTTTTAAAATTTTACTAAGGCTTTTTAAAATAGATTGCAATTTTCAAGACATATTGGCTACCCATTCACTCCTCTGCCTACCCATCCACCCACTCACCCATCTTCTATGAGCTAGGCATTATTGATGGTACAAAGGAAATTTCCAGTTTATTTATTTATTTATTCATCTGTTTGTTTACTTATTTATTTATTGAGATAGGTTCTCACTAATGTAGCCCTGGCTGGTATGGAGCTTGTTATGTAGATCAGGCTGCTCTTGAACTCATAGATCTTCTGAGTGCTGGGATTAAAGGTGTGTACTGTCACACTTGGCTTTAATTCCAGTGTAATTTAGACCCCTCCTTAGATGTATTTTTCTTGGTTAAGAACATGGCTTGAGGTAAGGAGGTTTGAAGGGAGATGCTATTTGGAATATAATTTCCTTGTAGTTGTTGCAACCTTTATTCTTGCTAAAGCTGTCTTTGAAATAATCACATATCTTAATTATAAAGATTAGGAAGATGCCATTTAAAAAAAATTAAAACTCCCTCTCCTCTTTTTTTAAAGTTCCAGAAACTCTTCAGTGCCTCTTCTATAATATTTTTCATATGGAATCTTTCAAATTATTGAAGGAAATTCAATTATAGTTTCAAACTTCCCTTTTTGATTTTGAGACAGGGTTTACTATGTCTAGCCCAGGCTGGCTTGGAACTTGATTCCTAGACCAGTCTGGCCTCAAACTCACAGATATCTACCTGTCTGCCTCCTACATGCTGGGATTAATTGTACTTTACCACTATACCCATCTAGTCCCCAAACTTCTTGTTCTAACAAATGTAGCAATTACTAGAAATAAAAGGTATTACAGAAATACAAGTTAATGACTAATTTATGTCATAACTGTCCCTTTTGCAGATTTATAGTGTTGTAGGTAAATGTAAAACCAGTAACAGTATATGAAAGAAGTTAAAAAACAGTTTTAAATTAAAACATAAAAAAACCCACATTGGCACAAGCAGTGTATTTGAAAAAGGATCACAAAATGTACACTTTTTAACTCGTGGAGGATGAATATTTGTCTTGGATTTTAGGATGTTCAGTAAACTGGAACTTCTGACTCTCCTGCTATGCTAAGACATAGACTAAAATTGGAACGATGCAGCATGACCCTTGCTCAAGGATGACATGCAAGTTTGCCAGGCTTGCTGTATTTGCTTACACCCCAAGAGCACTTATCATATTTAATTACAGTTACTTATTTATGGTCTCTCTACCTAGCTAATAGGTAGCATCTTGAAGGCAGGGAAATATATAACACACATCTTTCTCCATTGCTAAACACACTGCCTGCAATGTAATAGTAACTCATTAGCTATGGAATAAATTGAGGAGTTTTAATAAAATCTCATTAAAAGACAAAAAGTGTATTTATCAACCTTGGAGTCATTATTGTCCCAAAAGGCAGAATTAGTTTAAAGTAGTGGTGTTCTACCTGGCTGCATATTAGAACCATCAGGGGAGCTTTTAAAATGATCAGTGCCAGGCCCTGTGACAGAGCAGTGTAAGGCAGACTCTCTGGGATATGTCAGGTAGTTTTTAAAACGACATCAATCTTGGGTGAAGAGTCACTGTTTTAAAACTTAGCTGATATATAGTTTTCTGGGACTAGCATTTCAAAGGCTTAAAATTTTTACAAAGTAGATTTAAACATATTTTGTAATGCATTTAAGCTATCAGACCAAAACATGGATTTTTATATTCTGTACACCTATGTCTTGGAGGCTGTTGTATAAGAATTTCGTTTCAGTCTGTGTTAGGCTTTGGCTTCATGGGCCTTTTAAGATTCACATTGATTTATGACACTCATCTAATGCTAACATGGTGATTGCTTGATGTTTGGGACAACACAGAACAAGGATTGCTTCAATAACCATTGATGATAGTTTTCTACTACAATGGCTTAATTTAATAAGAAATTCATTAGCTTAGTATGGATTGTTTGCACACACATTTGATTAAAAGAAAATGGTTAAGTTACTTACATACTTTAAGTTCTGTACCTGTGACTACAATAATTCAGTTTGCCAGAGAATTGAGTTAAATGCAGTCTTATGTAAATACTGGGTTAATAATATATAAAATATATAATTGAGCAT